CGCATTTCCCTGCTGGCCAGGGGGGCCACCTGGGTGGCCCTGGCTGGGCAGGAGGAGAGGGCAGGAGAAGACTCCCTCTCCTGTGACTGAGCCTGCCAGGGAATTGGCTACCTCCAGGAGGAAGGTCTTGACTCTGGCTCTGAATTGGTGACTCAAGCCAGTCTTGCCAGCATCTGCACACCCCTCCTGGCTGGCAGTTCCCTGAGGCTCCCAGAGGTTGAAAAGACCCAGGAAAACATTTGCAGGGGATTATGGTTCAGAGTCTGGGGATGAGGTGGATTTGGCAACCATGAGACCCTCCCCGTAACCATGGAGCAGATTCCTGGGAGCAACCCCTGCCTCATACAGAATAGAGCATCTCCACCTGGACCCTGAGCACTATTCCCCCAGAATTTCAACATTTTTCCCCACGTCTCCAGAAAATTTCTCTCTTAGTCCTTGCATCTGCCTCTCAGGAGCATCCCAGAAAGAGACCAAGCTGGAGTTCATCTGCACCGGGACACTCTCCAGGCCCTGGAGCCAAAATGGAGCCCAGCACCTGGGAGGCTGGAGGGCGGGCTGAGGCTGTGCTCAACGGCTGTCTGCAAAGCTGCCTCCCTTGCGCTGCCGGAGGTCCCACTCCCATCCTGGGCTGATGACTTTGTGGCGACTGGGGGAGGGCTGACCCTGGGAGCAGGGCAGCTCTCCTCTCCTGCATCAGCCCTCCCCCTGCCCACCCCCACATCCCTTGTCCCCCTCACTGAGACCCAGAGGCCTCTCTACACAAGGCAGCATGACCAGATAAGGCAGGGAGGTGGTGGGGGAGGACGGGCCACATCCACAAGAGGCTGTCTTTGATGTCACCTCTCACCCACCTCCAAAGTCTTGCATACACTGGCAGAGAGGCGCCCTGGGGCGTCCCCAGCAGGGCGAACTCACAGGGAGGCCTTCCTTACTTTGTATTCTAACAGAAAACCACCACCCCTAGGGTGGGGGCTGGGAGCTGTTCCCTCCGCAACCCGACCCAGAGACTGGCCCCTTCCCCCTTCCAGAAGCCTTACTGACCTCCTCTTCTTGTAATACATGCGCAACTGGCTTGCACTCCCGACACCCCCAATGCCATGTAACCCTCCTGTCTACATACGATATCCTGTCACATAGTATCACTGACTCAGTAAAGAGCTGTTTCCAAGGAAAAAAAAAAAACAAACTATGTTTACTCTCTATTGTAGTCTGTTAGGTA